GACAGATGTCTGGATGTTAGCATTGGAAATGAAATGATGGAGCTTTCAGTTCTAGTCTTGTAGCACTGCGAGAAGTGCTTGCTGAATTGTTCGCATATAGTATTCGGGTCGTTAACAATGCTTCCGTTAACTATGAAGAATTTGGTCGTGCCAAGGGAATTTGACTTTACACGGGATTTAAAAAGTCGAAGTATTGATAATTCTGGGCTTTTACTACGTAGAGCTTTATTTTCTATATTCATGAAATACTTATGTTTAGATGAAGCATTTCTGTCGATTAATTTAAGTATACTCTGAAGTGCATACACATCATTCTGCTCATAGTAGCGGTATTTTAATTTCCTCAGCTTTCTTTTAAAAGTATTTTGGCCCCTATTAGCATTGGTTGTCGAATCGCTGTGCAGCAGAGAGTGGTGTTTCTTCTCACACCTATCAACGTTACAGTGCTTTGTCAGCTTACATTCATTAACTTTATGTCCTTGCCTAAGACAGACAAAGCAGATACCCTTGCTCTTTGTGTGAGACCATTGATCTTGAGATGTAAGCTCTAAAAATCGTGGACATTTATAAACAGCGTGGTCATCGGAACACATGATGCATTTAGTTTTGTCTGTCGAACGACTCCACCGCTCCGATTGCAAGTGACAATTCGCCTTAATGTTATGTCCCTTTCTTGAACGATTCGCCAACTGATCAAACCTACTACTAGCTACTCTTGCACGAGATGCTATAAACTGAGTGACCTCGTCAAACGTTGGTTCTCTATCATCTTCAGTCAATTTATCTACCACGTTCGCCCACTGAGCTTGCATAGATTGAGGCAAAAGCCTTAATATTCTCTCTAAGTTAATTAAAGAATTTAAATCGGCTGTATACTTCATATGTTTCAAGACCATGGAACAATTTCCCATTCTTATAGCTAGGTTTGACAGCTGCTCCGGACCACTGTAATCAGCATTTGCAAGTTTGAATAAGTCTGCTAAAGTTTCTCGAGCAATCACATGTGCCTGTCCAAACAACCGTTTTAGAATTTCCTTGGCCTTCTTGTAGCCAGCAGAGGCATCCAACATAACATGCCCCCCAATGGCTGTTTCTGCTCTACCCCTACAATAATGTATCAAATAAAGCAGGCGTTGACTATCATCCATGACCCTTGATTCTACGTAGGTCTCAAACTCTCTTAAAAACTTCCAGGAACCTCTTGGTTGTCCGTCGACATAACTGAATTCAGCCTTTGGTAATTCCATACCTAGAAAATTACCAATCACTACAAATAATTGTTGTTCTATCCTGTCCGAATAGACCACGCACAGATTCGTTCAAAAGATAATATTTGGTTGCTTTATAACAGTGTTTCCAATTCTGGAAGAGTGCCTCAATTCATAATCAAAAATGTACAACTCCAGTCAATACAAGCAACGCAATCAAAATGAGGAACTAACCAATATGACTGCCGCCAAGACTAAGTATCAAGTAAAACAACATAAACGTAGTTCAGGAAGAAACACGGAAACTTAGTGAAGGCGTAAGAAAAATAAAAACTATAATAAAATACAAATATTAACAACTCGAATGGAATAAAAAAGGCTAACAATGTATAACTAAAAGAATCAATAGGAACAAACTGCAAGTGTATACATGGAGGGATTTTCACACACGAAACATTGAAAATGGATCTTATAGGAATGTTGTAATTTGGTCGGTGCACAATCTGTTCTTGCGGAATCCAATCTGTTGATGTGGAAGTTGTATATCTACTGGATCTTTCATTTAGGTTAACAACGTTCGGTTGTGAAACTTTTCTGTTAGCGTTATTAGTTTGTGAGCTCTGTCGTTCTCACACTAGCTGTGATCTTTTCTCCATGATATGATGAGTTATCCTTGTTTCTAGTCTGTTGGCGCTTGTTTTTCTTCAGATGTTGATATTCATTGAACAATTATTATTATTATCATGGTTTAACTCCTTCACTGTGTTCATTACTTTTATCCCTCTTTTTTACTTCTTAATAAATATTATTCTTAAAATTACGATGCTTGTAATTAAGACAATAACTTGTGTTACGTTCAAATTAACTTCTCAGACTCATTTTATCTTCATTATGCATATATGACTCATACATATTGATATTTGGTTATCCTTTTCACTTAATTGGGAATTTCATAACATCACTCCAAACTATGACTACACAAACATCGATTCTAGCTTCATATCCTACTACATTAATAAGTTTCACAATTATTTTCTATTTCATTTTTGTTACTAATTTGGCGATAAATACATGGTCGTTTATTCTTTCTCTGTGGTGATAAACATTCTTATTAAACTGTAGTGACCTACTTTTACGAAGTGGACGCCATTTGTTTTGATGGACACAGTTATTATTATAACCAGTTGTACCAGTGATTGTTTTACTGTACTTGCTTGTTTATCTGTACTAAAGACATCGGTGAAACCAAAGCTGAAGCAGAATACGCTTGAAGATAGCTTTCTACTATGATAGTTGATGATGATCGATTAGTACAATTTATTGTTTCCTCCCACTATAGGCTGTTGTTGATGATATACGGCTGATGGATAGTGAGTATCTTGTGTGAACAATCGTTTATGAATACTTGTACTGTTTTGATGTTGGTTGTGGTATTTCTTCAAGTTTCAGCTCCGTACAACAGAACTATCATCATGTTCGTATCATAGATTCTTACTTTGATATGTTCTTCAACTGTAGGAATGCTGTTCTTGATTTATCGATCCTCGCCTTTAAGTTCGTATTGGATCCTCCTTATTTATTGATGATGTTGCCACTCAGGTGCACGGAAGTTTCCACTTCTTCCAAGCTTTCTTCATCAAGTATGATTCGGTTGGTGTTCGCCCTGTTGCATTTGAGGGTATGGTTTCTTCCCTTGTGTATGTTAAGGCCTTCTGATGTAGAGGCTTCTGCTGCACTGGTTGTATCGAGCTACATTTGTTCGTGGGTATAGGATAGAAGGGTTAAATCATCTTTGAAGTCCAAATAGTTGCATTCAAACTTTCCGTACTTCCCGTCTGATGTCAAGGTCTTCATAATCCCTTCAACCACTGGAAGAAAGAGGAAGGAGGAGAGTAGACAGCTTTTTCTGACCCCGGTCCTTATTGGGATAAATCTGTCAGCTGTCCTCCATGAACCACTTTTCACTGTAGTCTGTCGTATGAGTTTTGGTTGATGTTGATAATCTTCTTAGGTACTCCATAATGTCAAAGAAGGTCCCATAATACTTTCCTATCTCCATCGTGAAATGCTTTCTCGAAGTCTTCCACCAAATCATCCTGAATAGAGTATGAAGCATGTTTGCGGTTACCTTTATGTCTAACTTCAGTGCTCCGGTTGGTATATTGCCAGGTTCTGCTGCTTTTCCCCACTTCATTTGTTTGATGACCATCCTGATTTTCTCTTGACGTCCATAGGAAGGTCTGTAGGTGCTGCTTTGATGTCCGGTGGATTCAGTGGAGCTGGTCCATTCAAGAGTTACTCAATATGTGCTACCCATTTGTTTCTCTGTTCTTGAATCTCAGTGATTGGCTTGCCATCTTTGTCCTTGACTGGTCTCTCTGGTTTACTATATTTCCCCACCAGTTTCTTCGTCGTGTCATATAGTTGTTTGATATTTCCTTATGTTGCAGCTTTTTCCACTATCGTTGCTTGGTATTCCATGTATTTCTGCCTGTCGGCTCTAATACTGTTCTTCACTTGTTTGTTTACGTCTGTGTATTTAGTTTGTGCCTTGATTTCCTTTGATCTTGTTCGGCTGTTGTTAATTACTGTCTTTTTCTTCCTTTCATGAGTCTTGTCTGGGGACCAGATAGAAATCTATTCCTTTTGATGTCTGTTGTGGCTCAGAACTTCTTGATACGTTGAGGTTAATGCTTCTTTCATCGCTTTCCAACGACCCTCCATCGTAGTTTCTTCTTCCGCAGCTATTTGGTTGGTTTCATAGGTCTACCATATTTTCTGGACATTCGATGAACCTATATTAATTATTAGAAAGGGCGTTGGTCACGTGACACCCGAAGGATCTCAGCTTTTATCATGAGGTGTCATAATTCTTATGAATGAAGATATTTCAACTCCCAGGACAGAGTTTAAATGGTTTAAATTGTTTATTCTGGTTAAGGTTTTTTCGTAAGGTTGTTTTTTACGATATGTGGTTGGTAACCGTGCATCCAACTTTCTTCCTTCATCCAGGATTAGGAACAGCAGTAACACAAAGAGTGCTCTAGGTGGGGTTGTTAAAATGAATATTGGGTGAGTGTTTGCCACAGTCAACTAACTTCGATCAATATGTTTGAGAATTAGCCGAAAGAAGTGCAATTAATTCTGGACAAAATTCAACAGTGTAAGGTAATACCCAGGAGTATGATGATGAGGTAGTTCTGTGGTGCGTGCTAATTATATTGATATAAGTAGTATATGACGCGAGTCAGGAATGTAATATCTGGCAGCAGAAAATGGGGGGAGATCAAGAAAGCAAGAGCGGGAATAGAATGCAATTTGTATGAAAATGCAAGGACAATGAAGTCTGAGGCATTTTAAAACAATTGGTGAACATTTTGCAAATTAACGATTCGATATGTGGTTCTCAGATTTTATTGAGATGCTCTGCAATTTTGTGTTAAATGCATTAGATTGTCCCCATCCGTGTTCTGTTCACTACAGTGCTACTCCCACTTTTTAATACGTTAGTATTCTCAGTCCAATCCTTTTACGTGGTTTTGATAAGGAAGCAGGAGAAGCAGTTCACACTTATTCTTCATATCGTTTGCGTGGATTTTGAACTCAAAAATTTTATGCAGCTTTAAGTTGCCTTTAGTCATAAAGGTCTCTAATACACTAGATAAAAATAGTTATCGATATACTGAGACAGAATATTTTTACAAGTGGATGTTACTATACATCTGTAAATACGAATGTGCAGCTTAAGTAAATGATTTCGTCGAAAAGGAAATTTTCTTAGCCGAATCGTCTCTTTATTTTAATTAGCTGTAATATAACTTTGTCTATAAAAAAATGTCAGTTTTATGTGGAAGGATTTTAGACGTAATTGTGGTAATCTAATTTGCTACCATGGCTCAAGTAAAACAATGGGATATATTAGGTAATCAATGTCCGACATTTTGCCAATCTACACCTTTTCGTATTGAATAAGTGAAGGAATTTGCCTCCTTATCATGTGGCATATTGGGAAGTTGTATTTCTGTTGACGGTAACTTCCAATCTTGATGTGCTTTTAAACGGTTTTCTAATACCTCGTGATACTTGTAAGCTGAAAAAAAATGAAAAAAACTAGTTTAACACGTTAGTACATAAACCTACAAGTTAATTTGTGAAATGTACATAAAACAAGCAAAAGTACAAGTTGAAATTTATCTGGTTAGTTTTAGAGATAGATGTCTATTACGCTTGTAGGCTGTTTTCATTAGCTGCTGATTTCAGACAAAAGATAAAGGGCAGCTGTTTTATCTAAATATAATAAGATGACAAGCTAACAAATGAAGAGACACCCATGGACTATCGTTGATTTCTGACGGAGTTAGTCGTCATTGATTGAAAGTCAAACAGTGAGCGAGTTGATAATTTTCCCTTGGGCTGAGAAAACAGAAATAAGGTGTTTTTGATAGATAGGTTAATCGAACCAACGTTCCTATGGAAGTCGATTCTAGGGGCCAGTTAATGTAACAACTTAGGTTGGTTGGTTAAGAGTTCACCTCAAACAACTAAGCATATGTCAAAACAGTAGAGTTCAAGTATTCATTCACTTCCTTATTTTGTATAGGCGTTATATTTCCTATTATCTTATACTGAATATTGAGAGGCTCTGTTTGTCTAAATAAATAATCTCACGCTCGACTGTGACTGCGTGAAGATCTAAAAGAAAACCTATTCACCACGTGTCTGGTTTCTTCTATCAATAGCACGAGGGTTACCTACAGGCATGAAAGGTATGTGAAAGTCCTTCCATTTGTATATGTATTGAAATTGAATCCTCCAACTGACAATATCTCTTTGTTTAGTTTTGAATGTACAGTCGTTATTCTCAATGATTCCATTTTATGTGTTATGTCCATTGTTAATTACAGTGGATCTTATTTATATATTTATTTCACTAGTCGTTTTAGTTTTGTCAATGTTCCACTTTATTTGTACAGTTTTTATTGTCTGTATTAATTTTTTTTCCCTGTACATTATTTTCCAGCTGGTATCATATAAGTTTACCGTTCTTTGATTATCCATATTTGAATTTGTCGATTTGATCTATGCCTCAGGAATAAAAATATGTTTTATGTTTGTTGGGAATACCTTATATTGTTGCTAACTTTGATTAATCACCTTCAAAATAACTGAATCGATCTCACTAACACGAATAGAGCTATATTTCTTGCTTAATGTCCTTTTCTCTTGAAAATATGACTGTAGAAGGTTTTTGAACCAATTATTGGATGTATAAACTAAAATAAGCACTATTCAACATGTCTGTTATCAATGAATCATTATGTTTTAGCATATTTGAGTATTCAAGGGCATGATTGAAGGATCTACCATTTACACAGAATATTTAAGAATTATAGAGTTTGCAGGATCTTTTTGCAGTTAACATTCTACATCAGGTAAGATCAACAGCACACATTTTTTGTAATGCTAACAAAGATGGTCATCATTTCTAAACAGCGGCTATGAACATCTGGATTTAAGGAATTCGAAGGATTTAGTGATCTGTTCAAGTGCTCGAAGTTCAAATGAAAGCCACTTTTCTAATCGTTGAAGCAATCTAGACAGCGTGTATTATTGTACAATTATTTTTGATTCTAAAAACACAAGTAATTTTAAGAAGTAGTAAGAATCTATTTTGTATTTTAGGCGGTTCTAGCGCTACACCACCAATTACAGGAAATGAATGACAGATTATTATCCAGAAGAATTGGTCTGGAAAACCAGAGAGAAGGGCAGGGCAAAATTTCCCCAAACTACTTCGACATTCGCTTACGTTCATCTCTATAATATAACTCCTCCCAAACTATAGTATACAAATTGCTTAAAAAAAACAACAACATTTACTCAATGGACTAGACAACCAAGGTGTTCCATGTATTTGCTGATAATCCGATTTCATTGTTGACTGGATTCGTGATTGTGTGCTGCCTGATTTACATAAAATATTTCTTTTGAATCCAGCCCAAAATGGTAAAATTTCATTGAAAGTTAACCTAACTGCTTCGTCAAATAAGTTTAAACTTATAGGACCTTTATGATCAGTTTGACGATGTATTCTTCCAACTAATCGATTAATAACTTCATTTGGTAGGCCAATCTGAAAATGAAACGGCATATCATAAAGTAAAACGGGAATGAATACATTATTATTTTTACTATTAGTATTTAGAAAGTTTACCCAATATGAAAGGTAGTTGTTAATGTAGTGGCATTGGATCCTAACCAAAATCCTCAAAGCTGAACATGCGATAACTGGGAAAATAGATTTTCAACATGTAACACTAAGAGAAGGTCAATAAAGGCGGACGTGGTAACATTCATTCGAAATTGAATTCATTAGATGGCATGGCTCGGCCTTGCAGGCGTGGTCATACTTATGTAAAATAATTTTTATCCATATTAAATATATTGTTCTATCTCCGGCTTGAATGTGTTCTTCATCATACATTGATGATTGTTACAATACGATGAATCAGGGTAGACAATGATGTGGCTTTGACGTTAGGTCTTATAGATTAGGCGGTTACATCATGACAAATCTACAATTTTAGGATTAAGTCAATTATTAGAACAATACTAATAACAAAGTAGACCTTAATTCTACATTAATTACTTCTAGTTACATTTTGACCCCTTACCTGTATCAATCTACACCACTAAAAGTATCGATAAAACAGAGGGACATTTCTAGGAGAATGTTCTTGGATGTATACCAAGGAGTTGTGTAATTAAATATTTTAAAGTTTAATTTGGTTAAAGGTAAATACATCATTCACTCTGATAAGTCAGTAGTTATAGATGCAACTTTTAAAGCGATTAGTAGACAGAAGTACAGTGGAGTATTGGTTTTCTCATGAGAAAGTACTGGGTTGATTTTTATGATCAATTAGACTCCCTCTCGACAGCATTCAACAGTATCTTCTGGTATGAATTGGCAGTAGACAGTTATTATTATTATTACTAATGGCTTTATTCAATATTATATTTCGGTACAATATGGAATTCTCAGCACGAGGTATTTCAACAAATTTCTTTTGCAAATTGAAAGAAGGAAAGGGTGAAAAAAGATCTGAATGTGTACAACTTTTCAAATTAGAGACATGGTTAAGAATACAGGTTGTTGATTAGGTCAACTTTAACAACCTGTTCATCACAGAGTATATTTGCTAGATAAGGTATAGTAGAGCTTTTATACCCTTGCTTGAGTGTACGGATTTTAATGTATTGACATCTCGTTCTGCCAGAAGACATACAAGAAGAAAGATATGAATGAAGAGGATGGTTAGTATCTGATAAGGTAGCACCTGCCATCACTTTACAAGACTTTAGATGTCTATTCACAACCATATTAATAATGACCTCAAAAGATTCATCACACACTCTGCTAACTGCCTTCAGCACTCTCCACAATGCAGCAAAGTCTTTTCTCAAAAATCGGGGAAAGAATAATGGAGAACAGTAAAGAATGATAGTTAATATACAAGAATTGACAAATTGTAAAAGTAAATGTCGAGTAATCCCAGAAGTATGTAGCCTCTTTATGTAGTGAGTCAGATGGATAACAGTAAAAAATGAGCAGACCAAGAGAGTTCAGAGGAAAGGGTAACACTAAGATAATTGACCTTCGACACTGCGTTTATCAAAAAAATCTTCAATCGTACAAGCATTATGGGATCGCAACATGGTGTCTAGGTGGTGTTCATATCCTAGGCTAAAGTTAACAACTTGACATTTAGACGGATTAAGTATGAGACCATTACCAACAGACAAACAATCAATACGAGACAAAAACCCATTCATTTTTATGAGATGTAGAGAGGTAGAAATCGGCATACATACAGTAAAATCGTCCTCATATTTCACAAAAATGTTTACTGTGGAAGCTAGCAGATCATGTAGAAAAAAGGAGAAATGAAGAGGGGAAAGAACAGCTCCTTGTGGCACATCTTCATGAGACAGTAGAGACGTTGAACACTTACCTCTAAACATAGTGTACTGTTCTTTTCCAGAGAGGTAGGAAAATAGTCAGTTGGTTATCCAGCTGTCAGTGTTGACGCTAATTAAGTTATTAAGTAAAAGTTGTCTTGGGATAGAATTAAAAGCAAAAGTATAGTCCAGAAAAGTGCATCAAACATATTTCTTACTCTTTTCCAATCTGAACACTATATTGTGATGTAGAACAGTAATGGTATCTAAGGTGCTTCTTTCCGTTCTCCATCACAATATAGTCAGGCATATGTGTACGTCAATTTAGGTTGGTATATCATTTCATCATAGTGATTTAAAGTTAACAAGAGCTCTTGCAAAAGAAAAGTACTTCATTTTATCATACACTTATAATTAATTGACTTACTTGAATTTGTGGTGGAAAAACAGATTCTAAAAATGTTTGCAAAATGCATAAAACCTTTTTCCTTATTAAACTATGTTCAACATGACCACGATGAAGTTCCTATAATGAAATTAAGATATAGATAAAAACTGTCATTAAGTAGTATTTCACATGTGTACATATAAGGAGAAAACATACAAACTATTTCATTGGGAGAATAGTTCTTATTGACTAATATGACATTTTGGAAAATCATTCGAAGTAAGGTGTTAACCGTAAATTCTCAACAGTAATATGCTCCATTTCCCTTTGAAATTAAATTCTTAACTTTAAGAGGTGAGACTATAATTTATGGACGAGCCAATCAGAAGCGTTTGAGGGATTTTAGGGTCACAGCGCAAAATTTTAGTACCTCATGCTCATGTACGATCGGTTTACAGAGGATTTTTTAGAGAAAACGTGATAATTGAGCGGCTACAACGAATGGGACTACTAAAGAGTCCCTTTATTTGTGATTGTGGTAATCAAATGACTTGTGGACCTTGTACAGACTATCATGATGATGTTGTCTTTCGACGTAATATGTGTTGGAAGAAGTAGTCTGCTAGAATAGGATTTTTTCGCTCAATCCAGATTGAGACTAAGGTAAACGATGCGATTGTTGAGAACTGGATATTAAGAGCACTAGTAACACTGGCTGCACCCGGGCACCACAATATTACGGTTGATTGGAGGGCATACAGATGCCTACATAGACTTTGTTATGTGCATCATGTCGTTGTCCACGAGCGGCATTTTGTGGACCCAATATTGAAGCGATGTGTTCGGGACTGTAAGAGTTTTCACGACCTTATCATGACTCCAGGGGCCGACTATTATGGAGCCAATATGGATGATTTCCTCTGCCGTATGTATTACGACTTTAGAATCTCTGAACCTATTCCAAACCTTGACAAGTTTTTCAACCATGTAGAAGAAATATATCCACTTTAATTCTTTGATTTTGTGCAATATATTTTTACTCTATACTAACTGCTTTCTGATTGGCTAATATTTCTCAAGGCCACTTAAGATTCGTTCAAAAGTCGTCCATAAATTATAGTCTCACCGAAGATTGAGATGTCATACACCAGTTCATTGCTGGGTAGTAATGGTTTTCATCCCTGTAAACATCATTCCAGTATTTTGTGTACTACAATAATGCACCTGATATCAACTCTGTAAGTTATCATCAAGATAATCGATAGGCCAGGATCATCAAAAGGGACCTCCATAATCAAAATGCTCGACAGTTACATATAAAGATCGAACTCGACGAAGTTATATTTAATGATTAAAAAATATCACATTTCAATAGTAGTTAATGACATTTAAACTTGAGCCCTCTGCCTAATCTTTTCGACAAATGCACGAACTAAGTTTTTGGGAACTTTCTTTTACAGAATTTAGGAGACGACTTCATGGCTTACCCAAAGTTCACGAACAAGGAACTCCATTATGTCCAATTCTGAATATGCTAAACTAATAGTACCACTCAACAGTAAAGTGGCTGGTTAAATCATTGGGACTGTTACAGCGAAACTTAGTGAACCGCAGTGCTAAATATATATTTGAATATGTAGATTTAGTAAAAAAATATGAATCTCTGACCAAATTCACATGTCACTGACTGAACCTGTCCCCAGCTTTCATTTTAACAGAGAGCAACTGAGTGAATGCCAATTCAGTCAAGATAGTATAACTTACCAAATGATAAATGGTTAATTAATCATTAAAATAAAGGTCACAGAACAACCGATGAGGTTTCACTCTTAGTCTTTGTATCATCTAATAAAAAAGATTTTAGCCTAAGTAATAGGCTCTTTCATGTATCGAATTACGCTAACGATAAACTAGTTTAGTGCATTTAGATGAATGTAACATGACGAAAATACCGGTAATCTTTAACTGAACAAACTTTCCTATTATAAGATAAGGGAATGAAACAACTTAATTTTCATTGAATGAGACTTTCTTAGGTTGAGTGCTGATCGTCTTTTTGTACAGAGGTTCTTAGTATATCTTTTATGAAACAATTTTACCTGAAATAAATTAAATAAGATTCACATTGTAGTTAGGCGTATAAATGTTAAGTGTTGAGTCGGCTTCCGAGAACTATAACGAAGTCTCCAGGTGCTCTAATGAAGCCGAAAAGTTCCCATCCAATCAGAACATGATGGAGCTTTCTAGAATACCAACGTGGCATGCTACTATTGGACAGTAGCATAATATGTCTCCTTACGGATTGGACGAATTATAATGTTGATTTAATAAATGGTAATATCTTTAAATACCTGTGACTTTCTGTACATTTCGATTCTTACCAAATAAACACTTCTCCAGCTTTTCGTCTGCCTTCTGATTTGCGACGGTGAAGTTCCAACATCCGAGTGTCATAGTCATAGACTATATTCTGCGTTAATCAAGTAGGGAACTTAACAACTGTTTTGCTCTAGTTAGAATATTTTACTATAAAAAAACATATGTTGAAGGTGAATTGTCCTCTTACTTCTTATGTGAGGGATTAAAATCTTTTTCTGGTACCATAAACAGTATAGAATAAAACATAAAGTTCAGGTGTTTAACATACTTCGTACAATATTCATTGTCGAGTTCTTAATGATTACTTAAACGATCTTTCAATTTTTGTCCGTTGAAGCGACAATAATCTGGGTTACAAATGCTATCGACCGTTTTTTTTACAAACAAAGGTGTATGTGAGACATTAAAGAGGAAGAATGTATTTGTATGTGTTTGAAAAGTAACTATACGGTTATAATAATAATAATAATAATAATAATAATAAAGAATTTTGATGTTTTGTTCTCTGAGCTGGATGGTTTGGTCGTGGAGCTTTCATCATTCTTCTGGACGACATCATCAATACAAACTTCAGATAGAAGTAAAGTGAATTGCCCTCTTCATCTTCGCCTGAATGAATATCAACTAGCAGTCAAACACCATGACATGTCCTCACTTATATCAACGCACATGGACAACTGCAGACACACACTCGACTGGAAAAATTTGGACATGTCGGATAGAGACAATTCCAAAAACACTACAGAATTTTTACGAGCATCGCACTCAGCTCAATCAGTAATCAACAAGCACGTTCAAATCGATCCAATTTATCAACCAATCACGAAAATTATGCACATACATAGGAACAAAAACCAAACCAATGGGAGATACAACCAAAACAATGAAGTCAACAATGACAGGTTAAGGGTCAACAATAATCAGTCAACATCGAAATGTAGAAGACAAGTTATGAATCACATGTGGGGAAATTTGAACACTTCACTTCTACTTGGAGTTTGTGCTGCTGCTGATGATGTCGTTGAGAAGAACGGTGAAAGTTTCACGACCAAACCATCTAGCCTGAGAGAATAAAACTCCATCCAAATCATCCACCTGAACTAAAAATCTCCACTATCTCATGATAATAAATTTCGATCATGTAATAAGAAGACGAAGATTATCAGAACTATATGGATCTATTAACGCAATACATTTTGAACAATCTGATCACTCATACATACATAGGGAGGAGTAATCGTGATCTCAAAATTAGGGTGTGTGAACATGTACCTAAATGGTTGCATAAACAAATAAAATTAAATGATCTAATAAGAGTAGAGGATAAACATCCATCATTCTCAATTGAAACAGGCCATATGATTGATCTTAACTTTTGATATTGCACAAAGGTGTAAAGGGGCGTATACTAAGGTTTATTGAAGCCTTAGCCATACGGAAATTCAAACCCCCTTTCATGTATACAAAAACAGTTTGTTCTCACCTTAAACGTACCCTGCTAATATTAACTCATTATCCAGTATGATCAGGTCCCAAATTGTTTTTCATATTACTTTCTTTATTATCTTTGTCTACTTTTACCCTTCGTTTCTAGTCTAATTGACCTTTTATTTTTATGTAACAGACTGTTCGAAATGTATTAGGCTAATATATCACATAGTTCTGATAATCAATCTTCGTCTTCTTATTACACTATCAAAATTTATCAAAGGGACTAACTGCTTCAAATAATAATAATAATAATAATAATAATAATAATTTAATAATTGAATTCATGAGTCAGTTGAAGCTAGACCCCATGGAAAACCTGTAAGCACTAGTGACTGTCTTCAAGAGTTATTTCCTGGAGTTCTAGTGAGAAGCCGTGACCAGTGTAGTTCAACCTGGTCTGTTATGAGATAGTAACCCACTGAAGAAAATAGTGGACGGTGGTGTACTTTCGTTGATTGATTACGGTTTGACACTAATAATGTTGGATTCTGGCCGGTTCAGTGGTCTAGAGGTTAAGCGTTCACGCGCGAGACTGATAGGTCGTGGGTTCGAATCTCGTGGCGCAGGATCGTGGATGCTCACTGCTGAGGAATCCCATACTAGGATGAAACAGCCGTTTAGTGCTTCCGAGTTTTCCATGATTGGTTTCTATGATTATTATTACCGATCCAAAGGTGATTTATTCAACTAATAGAAGCTAACTTACTTCAAAACGTAAAATTTCAATATGAAATATCAAATCTTGATCAATTAATGGACAATTTTCTTTGAATCCATAATCAACTAAATACTGATAGAATAATATTAATTTAAAATCAGGCGGTTGAAAAGCTGCACGTTTTAATAATTTTGATAATTCTTCTTTATCTTCTAACATTGGTCTCATTTTAATAGAAAATTTCTAAATTTATAGAATTAGATCATAAATAAATATAAGTAGTCAATGTATATCAATGATCTAGTGTAGTTTGATATTTATACAAACCTTGTTATAATTGACATAAACGGTAAAAGTAATGGGAAATGTCAATCATTGAACGTTTGTCATATTATGCTTTGAGCGGAGAGGGGGGTTGTTAACAGCGTTTCCTCATGACTCTAGAACTTTGGAGATTCACATTTTGCGAGTGTTTATTAACAGCTGTTTACGCAAAATAATCTGGATCCGTTGGCCGGATACTATCAACAACAACCTACTGTGGGAGAGAACAAACTAGATTCCAGTGGAGGAAGAAATCAGGAAGAAGCACTGGAAGTGGATAGGACACACATTGAGGAAAGCACCCAACTGAGTCATAATACAAGCCCTTACATGGAATCCTCAAGGCCAAAGGAGGAGGAGAGGAAGACGAAAGAACACATTACGCTGAGAAATAGAGACAGACATCAGAAGAATGAGCAACAATTGGATCGAACTAGAAAGGAAGGCCCAGGTCGGAGTGGGTCGGAGAATGCTTGTCGGTGGCCTATGCTCCATTGGGAATAACAGGCGTAAGTAAGTATATAAGATATTTCTGATCTGATGAATTTATTCATACTACCAATAATGTCATAGTAATTTTACGAGTTTTAGTGATTTCATACCGAATTATTCTGTATATAATGCACGTTTACATTTTCGTTCTTCTGATTTTAGTACATAACTGCACTTCTATTGCAAAAGCCATGGAGATTAAATTTTCTTTAAAGAATGAATGTGACCTCTTAAGAATGGCTATAATAAAGTACACAAATGGGAGGAAAAATATTCAGTTTTACAAATCCTACTTGTTATAACTTGTGGCCTATTAGCCCTATTAATATATAACGTAATAATATCGACAGTTAGAGAATAGTGATTTGTCGACCGGACCAATGATTCGTAAACGCGTACGGGAAGTCTATAGTTTCCATAGGTCCTTCTTCATTCCTAGCCATGCCTGTTAAAGTTCAGAACACCAATCTCAGCCTCCGAGATATGAATCATGTATTTCAAACATGCTGGGTTTATATACAAACCAAACAGACCACATCGCTCCACAAAATAGAAAAATAACATTTTTACAAGATCTAGCCTAAAAATGGCTGTGATTATGGGAGACTGTAATTAATAGACTGGGCATAACTCAACAATGGTAAATCGTCTAATAATAGTCTATAGGTCAATGTAAAGCTTATAATAAGAGGAATATGAATATGCATAGTTTAGCCACTTAACAATTATACAATAAAAATATGTGTATCATATTTATCCATAAATGAATCCCAACAGTTACCATTCATAATTCTCATCGGGATATAGGTTGAATAATTTTTTTCTGGTTAGCGTTTTTTTAGCTAGTTAGTTTTCTACGGGATGGGGTCGCTAACCCCATGCCCAACACTTCTCCTTTATCCGGGCTTGGAACCGACAGTAGCCCCCGGAGGGACTCCGTGCGGAGTTCATCGGGATATAACATCATTCAGTACGTATTCAGTTCATGAAAATGTTTATAGAATCAAAAAGTTATGTAATCAGACTATAGACAAAGAATTTTTAGCTGAAAATGTTCTGAATGATTAATGGACAAGAAATTGATGAAGATGACAGTGTTAAAGAAAATAAAATGTCTCAAGATCTACCACAACAATCAAGTCGTTTAGTTTGGTAGCATTGATTAGAAATATTATGAAAACATTTCATAAATAAGAAATAATATTACCTGTTTTGTTTCTGAAGCCTGACTAAGTGTTTTTGGAGTTACAACTAATGGGGCTAATTCAATTTCAGGCATTTGGCAAAGTTGAGACACTGATAAACCAAGCTTTTTAGCTGTTACCTAAAGAAGAAAAAAAATATTCAAAGATTTAGAAGAGAAAAAGAACACTTGTTGTAAACTCAATTTGATAGATCGTTAATAAAATGAGTTGAAAACTGGAGAACTACTACAAACATCATCAAAAAGGTACGAGTATTTATAAATAGCTGTCTATGCAAGGTACTCAACATCTATTGACTGGAAACCATCAGTAACAGCCTACTGCGGGAGAGAACAAACAAGCTTCCAGCTGAAGAGGAAATTAGGAAAAGACGATAAAAATAGATAGGACATACATTACGCAAATTACCAAACTGCATCACAAGACAAGCCCTAACTTGGAGTCCTGAAGGGAAGCGGAAAAGAGAAAGGCCAAAGAACACATTACGTCTGGAAATGGAAGCGTATATGAAAAGTATGAATAACAACTGGAAAGAGCTGTAAAGGATTGCTTGGGACAGAGTTGGATGATGAATGCTGTTGAGCGGCCTATGCTCCTCCACGAGGAGTAACAGGCGTAAGTAAGCAAAGTAAGTAAGTATTGGGTTGAAGGTAGAAATGTCACCCTGCAATTAACCTTCATTTTAATGGAAAAGTTTACATTAATTAGTCATCAGGAGGTAATAGCTTACATCTGTAACTGCTCATGGAACGTAGAGCACCGACAAGAAATATCTGGTCAACTCTGTCCTGAGCCATCCTTTCTAGTTGTTTCCATATCCTATTCATTCTTTTGACGTCTGTCTGCGATTCCCGATGCAATGTGTTCATTGGTCTACCTCTTCATTTTACATTCAGGATCTCAAGTTTTGGCTTACTTTGTACTGCAGTTTCATTATTTCAACAATATGTGTCCTACCTAATTCCAGCGTCTTATCCCAATTTTCTCTTCAGGTAGAGGTTAGTTTATTTTCTGCTACAGTACGTTGTTATTGACAGTGTCTGGCCAACGGATCTGGAGTATCCTGCATATACAAATGTTTGTAAAAACCTGTACCTTTTTGATAACCTAATATAAATTTCAGAACAAATAAATAGACAGCGGGTTTTTAGCTGTCATTGCTACTTGATATTGTTTAAGTAGTATACAAGTGTAATCCAAGCAGCTCTTTGAGATTGATTTCTATTTGTTGTTACATGAACAACTGAAGATGATTCAAACAAATGAAATAACTCGTTGTATATATATATTCATAGTGTAATTAGAGGCTTCATCGCTCGGGCCTAGATTATGTATCTATGGAAATAGAATAAATCAACTAGATACTGACATTTAGTTTGAGTGAGGTTTTATTCTTTACAAATGAATAAGTGGTTTTAATAAAAAAAAGTTAACTTACATTTAAAAATTCATTAAACAAGGAATAGAGATTGTTTAAATGATGATCTCGGAGGCCTTTTAATGTAGCTGATGTTGGACGATCTTTTTCTTGATCTAATCGTTTGATAAATTTTTCTGGCAATTCTATTGGCTTTTCACATGATATACGTAGATAATTACTAACAAATTATAACAAGAAAATGATTCATTTTGTCAGTGCTATCAATCATATTTTTTGTTTAAAACCATGTACGTTACATAAGGTTTGCATTTTGAGAGTTGGTGTGTAGCATTAGATGCTACTAGACTCAGAATTTATGAATGTTATTAGTTCAACCGATCCACAAAATTGCGCGACCAACTTCCATTGCACTGAGGTAGATACCTGTCTCTACCTGACATGGATTAGCTCCACTGGTCACGGCTGATGTTAGACACTATCACCATTGGATGCCGGCTCAGTGGTCCAGTAGGTTAAGCGTTCGCGCGCGAGACCGAAGGCCCCTGGTTCGAATCTCGCAAGCTGGATCGTGGATGCGCACTGCTGAAGAGTCCCACAATAGGACGAAACGGCCTTCCAGTGCTTCCAGGTTCCCAAAGGTGGTCTAACATCAATCGGGTCATGATCTCAATCAAAAACTTAATAATCTCCACAACCCCTATACTAGTTATTGTTAACAATTGGATTTTGTAATTATGTAGGAGAAAATTCCCTCAGTGTTCAACTAGATTATTTTGTGATATAGTCGTTCAGTTAAAGAAAATTTATCAATTTGTCTACTTCTGGGCTAAAAACACCTAAGATTACTGATTAGGTGCTTTCTGAGAGATCTGAATGTCCTGGGTTTGATCTCTGGAGAGGTTATGAAAGCATACTGCTTGGGAACCTTATAACAGGACGAAATAGTTGTCTAGTATTTCCTGCTTTCTGATAGTTTTCAAGCGGATATCAATCTGTGAAAAATGAAACGGTTAAGTATACTGAAAGGTGTGAGATTTAAAGTGACCCATTTAAGACTATCGAACACATGCATATGTATATATATATATATTTCAAATCCTAAAAACTAATCTTTGTTCATCTCAATCGCTTATTTGTGGCTCAGGAAAAAAAGATCTCGAAAATCTTAACGATAAGCCTTGAATGTCAGCATCGACCATTTTGTCGATGAAAATAGGTACTTGAAAGCCAATCTAAGGGATAGTTGGATCAATCTATCAAATATCGATCATTAAACCTCTCACGTTATTAAATTGTAAGTTTTGGAATGTAAGTAAGTACAGCATAGAGGAAGTACCTGTACTCGTGGTCCTGTCTCACACGGATCTTGGGGTGACAGTGAGTCATGATCTTAAGACCGGGGCTCATTGCCGGGAGGTTGCAGATTTGGGGTTTACAACCCTACGGAATTTAAGACGAGTATTCATCAAGTAAGATACTACCATTTGACTACAGTATACATAAAATTAGTGAGAACCAAACTTAAAAACTGCGTTCAGGCTGCAAGCCCTTGTTTGAAAGGTGACTCGGATATCCTCGGAAAAGTAAAGAGGGCGGCTACTCGTGCTATTCCAGAACTCCGGGGTTTACCATACAAAAAAGTGGCTTTAAAAACTAGACCTCTTTTCTCTGTCTTATCGCAGATTAAGAGGTGATCTGATTTTGATGCATAGAATACTAAGCAATGATTTTGAACCTAATATATTCTCTCTTTTTCTTCCCACTAGATCGGGACATCTCAGAGGACATGGCAGGTGAGTAGAAAAGCCAAGAATGAACAAACTACCCGTGAAATACAGGTTTTCACACCGAGGCATCAATTCTTGGAACCTGTTACCTGAAGCAGTGGTGTCCGCTCCTTCAACTAACTAATTCAAGAGAGGACTAAACACTCACAGAGGTATACTAGAAAAGAAATAACATTGGCTGTAGGCCTTCTGTCCTTACTACACAAATCTGAATTTGAATTTGAGATGATGGAGTAGATTTGTGGTCAGGTGGATGATTTCGATGGAGTTTTGATATCTCAGCCTGATCGTTTGGTCGTGGAACTTTCACCGTTCTTCTAAACGACATCATCAGCAGCAGCACAAACTCCAGATAGAAGTGCAGTGTTCGAATTTCCCCACATGTGATTCACAGCTTGTCTTGTACATCTCGATGTTGACTGATTATTGTTGACCCTTAACCTGTCATTGTTGACTTCATTGTTTTGGTTGTATCTCTCATTGGTTTGGTTTTTGTTCCTATGTATGTGCATAATTTTCGTGATTGGTTGATAAATTGGATCGATTTGAACGTGCTTGTTGATTACTGATTGAGCTGAGTGCGATGCTCGTAAAAATTCTGTGGTGTTTTTGGAATTGTCTCTATTCGAAATGTCCAAATTTTTCCAGTCGAGTGTGTGTCCGCAGTTGTCCATGTGCATTGATATGAGTGAGGATATGTCATGGTGTTTGACTGCTAATTGATATTCATTCAGGCGAAGATGAAGAGGGCGTCCACTTTGTCCGATATAGTGTTGTTCGCAGTTGGCATAATTTATTTTGTAGATGATGTTTGATTTGTCTTCTTTTATAATTTCATCCTTTGGTTACCATAGGATTAATTGTGGGGATTTTGTTGGTTTGTGTGCAACACCTATTCCGAAGGATTTCAGCAGTCCTGTTGTCGTTTCTAATATGCCTTTTATGTATGGTAGGGTGATCCTTTTATTGATTTCTGTACTTAACTTTGTTTCTGATGATGAGTACGGCTGGTCAGGAAATTTATACAGGAATATTATGTACAAGCATAGGAACAAAAATCAAACCAATGGAAGATACAATCAAAACAAAGAAGTAAACAATAACATGTTAAGGGTCAACAACAACCAATCAACATTAAGATGTACAAGACAAGCTGTGAACCGCATGTGGAGAAATTCGAATACTCCACTTCTATCTGAAATTTGTGCTGCTGATGACGATGTCGTTCAGAAGAACGACTAAAGCTCCACGACCAAATCATCCAACTCAAAGAACAAAACTCCATCAGAATTTGAATTTGTTAACATTGTTTATCTAATTAGTCATAAACGATGACAACATCTTGAATTGATTTTGATATTGATTAATAAATAATCCAAGTAACTTACTCATAAATATAGTTTGCTTTATCGATTCGTTGTTTAAGTTTTTCCATATTTAATTGATTTTTGGTGATTGTCAAATATTGATTTACTTCTAAAATAAATGCTAAATTATTTGATGAATTATAATTGAATTCTGATTGATCCAATGTTTTAAGCCATTCTTGAAACATTGAAATTAATCTATGTTTTTTGTTGCCATGGTAACATGTAAATTCATAAAAACACAAAATAGTGCTCAATATACCACAAAAAAAAATTAGTGAACAAAATCGCAACTGAATTAATAATGTAGGTGTATGTTATGAGTTTGATTAAGACGTAATCTTGTAATGCTTGTGACAGCACAATCATACTTCAGAATAGAGATAGGGTATTATCATACAGTCAACTGATTAATCCAACTGGGCACACTAAATAATTAGACTATTGTTCTACATCATATGGTATACACGGATACAATATGCGATTGACAAGGAAGAATCCGATTTTAGAAACAGAAGGAGTTCATGCACAATCAGTCCACAATAGAGACTGATAGGTCCTGCAAGCTCTGCATGCACTGAACCTACAGGATGACTCAGAAGACTGTTTTGTAAACTATCTTTCCCTTCTGTACATAACCCGCGAATTTTACTTTTCAAAATAAACGACTGGTGGCTTCATTTCGTGTTCTCTCTCTTAGTGTGAAGTGCTCGGTTAACATTGTGTGTTGTGGTTTCTGGTCTTCCCCGCCTCTCAGTGACTGCTGATTACACGTGTTACAATTTGGCTAAATAGCGATTTTGGCATTTTATCTGATGTCAGTTCGTGATGAAAACCTCGAATCTAATGCCTAACCCTAACCATCAACTGTAAATCATAATTCTAATTCTCCACACTGATTTATAACCCACATTTAGTCTTTATCAGTAGGTTGATATTCTTAAGGTCACTTTAACGTCGCTCAAAGGTCGTCCATAAATTATAGTCTCACCATTAATTATTAAAATGGGTGTACAATCAACGTATAAAAGAGTGTATTTTCGACTAGGGTTATCGTTATGTCTGGAGTTTAATAGATATTCACTTGTACCAGTCTTGGTATTATTACTTCGCATCATAGGTAATTGTAATACTTCCTTGTTGTTTTAAGTATAAGAATGGTAGACGAGGATAGAGCAGAAATTTGCCATTATTAAATTATCATTTTGCTCCGTTTTATATCAGTTATGATTGAGTTATGCACACACTGTAATTACTAACTTGTGTTGCTTAGCCGTCAGGTGTTCGATATATATTGTGATATGAATTTTGAGTTATGAATGTGTAGGGTAAAATAGAGTAATAATCTGCTCGCTGTCTTCATCTTTTGATTAAATGGGCCTCATAACTCAATGAGCCTTAATATTCATTAATCAGTACTCAAAACCATTAAGATGTTGATTTAGAGAGGGTCGCTACGATACTAGATAATAAGGTCACTGGTCCTATAGGAAATAGAGCCGAATAAGTCAATATTCTGACAAGGCAGTATTTTGGTGTGTGCTACTGATCTCGGCAGATACAATTTATTTATTTATTTATTTTATTTAAACACATAAATATTAGAACAAGAAGGCACCAAATAGATATGTGTCACATAAGTCATTCGATTTGTGTGGGGATTGGGATACGGCTCGGCTGCCCAAACCGAAACAATTGGTTTTCTTATGAGGCCATAACCGGAGCCTTCAACCTAAAAGTCTGGTCCACAAGACAGTGGAGTAACGTAAGGAGATACAGTCCCATGGTAACCGGTAACAAATAATTGGTTCATACGCCATTTATTCACTTACGATTCTGGAGCCCATGTGCACGGTCGGTTTGGAATCAGGGTTTCCCAACTCCGGCAGGTGGATCCGTCATGTCCGCCAACCCGGTTAAAGTGCCGTAAACAACAACAATGTCACGAGAAGGCAGTGAGTAGGACTTCCGTGGCAGTGATTGTATGACCGTGGTCATGTGAGAGTAGTTCGAGAGATAATGAGAGAGCTGACTCTCCCCACTCTCGGCAGTACCAGGGCATTTGGGGGCAATTGAAAGTGAAATGCCTGTAGGCAGATGGTTACGAAGATCAAGGAAAAGACAACGAGAACTGAAGGTGATTAATGTGGAAAAGAAAGAACAATGAATTCTGAGATGATTGATTGACATTTTGCAAACGAAGTATTTACTGTATGGTTCTCAGATTTTACTAAGATGTTTAGTATTTTTATATTCAGAAACATCCGACTGTCCCCATTTGTGTTCTCGTTCATTACAATATAACTACTCCCATAGTAAACAGTCTGAAATGATATTATGTACTAATGATCAATCTATCTAGTCACATTAAAGGATCATATCTTATAATTTATATTCTGGCCTATAAACTTTCTAAAAACAGAGAAATTACAATATTATGTTTATATACTACTTACAATTTATTATCAAGCATAGATTTCAAGTTGAATACTTGATTTGATATTCTTCTTGATTGTGATTCTGATTGATTTTCTGTTTGTTTTATTAATCGAGTTTCTTCATCAGACTTGATTGTAAATAATAAAAAGAATTGTGAACATTAACAACAACAAAACAAATTATATTCAGAAAAGGGTTTTTGTGGATATTATAAGAATTTAATAGTTGAATTCATGAGTCAATTAAAGCTAGACAAACATGGAAAACCTGGATTGGTTGAAGTTAGACAATAACACTGTTGAATGCCAGCCAGCTCAGTGATCTAGTGGTTAAGAGCTCGTGCGCCAAACTGATAGGTCCTGGGTTCGAATCTCGTCAGGCGGGATCGTGGATACGCACTGCTGAGGAGTCCCATACTAGGATGAAACGGCCTTCCAGTGCTTTCAGGTTTTCAATGGTGGTCTAACATCAATCGGTTGAAGATCTCAATCAATAACTTAATAAACTCCGCAACCTTATACTGTGTAAAACTCTCGTTATTCTTCTAGTTGAAATCACCAGAATGTATTTCAAAGTGTCCGACCACTGAGTTTTATTTGCAGAAACATCAATTAGCTATCAGACTCCATTGTTTGTACTAATGTATGTGAGTAATGTTAGCGGCATTTCAGACAAAAAGAACACGTTGAGTTCTTGATATAACAACATAAATAAGGTCAGAAAAATTTAGAACGTCTGGGTTACTTGTTTCCGCCACTTAGTTCTTTCAAAAAGTTATCTAGTTTTGTTTGCTTTAATATTTGAATTCATGAGTCATTTAAAGTTAAATCACCACGGAACACCTGGAAGCACTGGACGACTGTTTCGTCCTATTGTGGAACTCATCAGCAGTGCGCATCCACGATCCTGCTCGCGGGATACATCATTATGGCTATTAATCGCATAACCTATTCAAGTGCGTTTCTGAAAAGTGTACAACCTTTCGTTGTACAAGTTACAAGATGCCCAATCAGAAATATCTTGGTTGCTGGCAATATGCAACCAAAAGAATATACATTATTTAGATGTCGATTGACTGGACTGCTAACTTTTAACTGTCAATCACTTAATATTTATCGTCAGGATTGACCAAGAACTAAGAAATGGAAACTTGTTGAAATACTTTGTGTTTTTATTTTATTGCTGATATTCAAAACATCTAGCGGTGTAGTCATTCAGATTTTTTTAATGAGTCCACTTATTAACAAAGATTGATCAAAATTCACTCTTGAATATCAACAACATGAAAATAATCATTATTATAAGTGATAATTACAAAATCAATCTTGAAATGAGAAAACGGTAAAGGAAATCAGATTATTAGATGTATATCACTAGTATTATGTACAACACAGAGTAAGTTTAAGATTTCATATATCACAGGTAGACTATTCAATAAACTAGTAAAAATGTTGTACATGTTCATTCCCCTCCTATACAGGAATCTACTAGTATTCAAGATGGAAAAAAAGCAGATAAAGATAATGAAAACGTTAAAATCAGTCTACTAAGCAATTAACTGCTGATGTTATTAAAATTTATTCTGTATGAATACGGTTTACAGCGGCTTAAACTTCACAATGATCCAACGATTTATTATTTTAAGCGAAGATGGATAATGGCTAGCTGTGGAATCCATGACGCGCGTTTCGTTCTATTTGGTACTCGTCAGATGGATGTATCGGCACCTCAGAGTTGATGTTCATTCTGGGACTCGAGCTCAGTGCCGTTCGCTCCAAACGCCGTCGCGTTATCCATTTAGCTACTGAGTCCACTTGCTTGTGCAATGGGGTGAAGTTTAAATTCATTTGGTATTCGAAGGGGTTTTGTGCAGATTGAAGTAATTTCAATAGTTGAGATCATGAGTCGATTGAAACTAGACCACCATGGAAGACCTGAAAACAATAGACAGCCGTTTCGTCCTATTATGAAACTCCCCAGCTTTGCGCATCAACGACCCTGCACATGAGCTTCGAACCTCACACCTAAGATCTCGAGCACGAACCCTTAACCTCTAGTCCACTGAACCGGAATCCAACGGTTTTAATGTCTAACGTTAACCAATCCACGAAATTGCGCGATCACCTTCCATTGCTATTGATGGGTACCTGCCTCGCACTCAAAACTGACTAGCTCTACTGTTCACGGTCTCTCACTACAACTCTGAGAGTCGCCTCTCGAGCAATATCATGGATTGGTTGAAGTTAGAAATTGACACCGTTGGATTCCGGCTCAGGGGTCTATAGGTTATGCAATCACGCGTGAGATCAAAAGTGTTACGTTCGAGCCTCGTGTGCAGGGTCGTTGATTCGCAAAGCTGCGGAGTCCTATACTGGGACGAAATGGCTGTCTAGTGTTTCCAGGTTTTCAATGGTGGTCTAACATTATTCGATTCATGATTTTAATCAAAACTCAACAATATTCACATCTCTATACTAACAGCAACTGACCTTTTATAGAAATGTAAGTCTGCCTGTCGGTTGTTTTCATCTACTACCAAGTATCGCATATATATATATATATATGTTTCACAAGGAAGATTAACATGATAACCGGCAATTTTGAACCCAATGTCCTATCAGTGTTTAATTATCAATGTTAAAAAGGTATTGGATTTATTGAAAAAAAACCCAACTTAAATTCAAATAAAACGAACCTCGGTTAACTTGACCAATCCTGATAATGAACTGTCTTGTTTCTGAAAATAAAAGACAATATTGAAACAAAACATTTATAAGTTATTGAAATAACCGATACTAATTAGTTGTTGTTGTCAAGTCACTAGTGCTAATAGTATTCTTATTTATCAAGTTGTAATACAGCGTGCAATACTTGCAATGTTGAGTGATTAATCGTGGCACAAATCGCTGAGTTGTAACTTATATTGTGAAGATGGATGACAAGGGTTTAAACATCATTGAGAGTATCAGTTCCATCAAAACTGATAATACACCTTGCTTATGTTCCACATAATGCAGATATATTTATCTGACTTCATGATCAATCACTGTATCACAAAATTCAAGAATAAAAAAATACCAGGTCTAGTTTTAAGGTTGTATTTTCTAGACTAACTTCAAAAGATGTCTCGTTCGACTAGCAAAATGATCTTATCAATTTTTTACTGATAATTGGCTGACTCTACCAGTTTATTAATTTCACTCGTCTGAAATACATTCTCTGATTCGATTCTTGCAATTTCGGTCGTGCATGAACAATGTTGAGGAGTCTCATAATAAGACGAAACAGCTGTCCTGTTCTCCCCAAATGCCCTGTTACGGCTGAGAGTGGGAAGGGTATTGGACAGCCTTTTTTTCCTAGTATGGACCTCCTCAGCGGTGCCCATTCATGATCCCACATGCGAAACTCGAACCCAAGACCTTTGGTCTCATGTTCTGGCATTTAAAGGTGTTAATTTCGGGATTATGAATGTGTGTTGCTTAGGAGTCCCATACTAGAGTGAAACGGCTTTCCAACGCTTTTAGGTCTTCAGTTGTGGTTTAACTTAGATGGACTCGTGAATTCAATTGTTAAAATACTGCAATCTCTATAAATCCCCATATCGATAATTTTAATTAAGTAATATTCTTATACATACAGTTAAATTATTAAGGTCTAAGAATGTAATATCATAAAAAAATTATAAAGCTATCTTTAAGTATATATATTATACTTTAGGTTTTAATGCTTCACGTTGACGTTTTCGTGCAGCTAGAACAGCTTTTCTTCGTTCTTTCTCAGTTATTCTAACTTGTTCTAATTTCATTCGAATACGTTCTTCTTTTTCGGAAGGTGTTAAATGATCCCAACTATGTGAACGTTTAAGCTGATCAGATGATGTACTTGTTGGTGGACTTGAGAAAGAAAACAGATTTAGGAATTTCGTATTATATGTTAATATATATATATAAGCTCAATTTTGCAATGATAAGTAACAGTTCAAATCAATTCAAGTATACCCATTGAAAATATATGATTATATCATTGAATCAGTGGTAAAATACATTTATTACTGTTTGTTAATCGTTCATAATGGTTAGGGTATCCTAGATTTATGTTTTATACTAGTTGGCACTTGTTAACAATCAGTATCTGTTAGCTTGAGAGAAATGATGCACATCAAGCAAAATATAGATTCTTAGGTAGAGATAAGGAACACTGGATTGTTCATTGGTTTGGATGGTTGAGATATGTACTGGATACATATGCTATAGAGGCTAATATAGAAGCAGTTTTGAAAAAGATTATTTTAAAATGGAGTCATCAGATATGCTTAGGTAAACCTGACTATTGGGATGAGTCAGTTAGGAAGGTGCAGACTATACGGTCGATATGTGACAGACTGCATAAGTTTCCAGGTCATCATATTTATTCAGGCTTGTGTTTAAATTTATTGTCATAAATCTACCTGTTTTAGACGTATCTTAGTTAGCGACCTGAAGTTTGTGTTGATGATTTCGTTCAGAAGAACGATGAAAGCTTCACGACCAAACTATTTATCTCAGAGAACAAAACTCCATCAAAATTATGTCTGCCAACAGGTTGTACTTACCTACCTTCAAAAAAGTTTACAACTTATCGCAAATTTAATTACTGGAGAACTCTAGGAGTATTAACAAGGTGATTCTGATATTTTCCTTTTTTTCTTTCTCTATCCTTAAAAGTAATAAAAGTTGATTACAAAGGAATTCAGACATCAAATATTCCAAGCTACACTCTTTGTTTTCCCTTAAAGTATGAGATTAAAATTGCTTCATAACTTTCTTTCTGTACTATGTCCTGATATGCAACTTGGACTGATGCACATATGTGCCTAGTCCTACGTTGTAGCTGATTGAGTGACTGAAAAGAGATAACATAGGAGCAAGATTGGTTGTAAACATTTACGGATAAATATGAATAGCTGATAGTCACTATTTCAAAACTTGTTATAGATATTTCTCTGAATACTAATGTAGTGAACACGAACACCAGTGGGGACAATCGAATGTATTTAACACAAAATGACAGGACTTGTTAGTAAAATCTAACAATCAAATAGTAAATACGTAATTTGCAAAATGTCCATCGATTGTCTCATAATGACTCGGACTTCATTGTTCTTGCATTTTCATACAAATTGTATCTTGTTTTCATTCTTTACTGGTCGATCCTCTTATGTCTCTGCTGCCGGACATTCTGATTTCATACATTTTATTCCATGAAACGATTTATTCTTTCGGGGTTATACTTTCTATAGTTACTTCACAAGTAATATTGATGTAATCATCACATTTCTTTTAGGTTTCCTCTTATTGTACTGATAAGAAATATGGAAACTTGCATCGATACAATGTACTCCAAATCTTTTGTTCTTGTTTATGATTCACAGAAGATACAAGTGTTTATTAACAGTTGTTTACGCAAAATACTTCAGATTCGTTGGCCCGATACTATCAACAACACCATACTATGGGAGAGAACAAACCAGATTCCAGTGGAGGAAGAAATCAGGAAGAAGCACTGGAAGTGGATAGGACACACATTGAGGAAAGCACCCAACTGCATTACAAGACATCACGCGAAATTCGTGTACTTGGCTCTAACTAAAATTGATTGTTAGACTGAGTGACACTCCTATTTGGTTAAAACTGAAATTAGAGGACAGGGTTAGTTGAGTGCTGAGTGATTGAATATTTGGGACCGTAAGTGATATGTATCAAATCGGCAGAAGTGGTGTAAAACCTTATTTATATCATTCATTTGATTCTTAGATTTAAAGTTATTTGAAACTCTTTACTCCTTTCTAAATCTTATTTCCTACGGTTAGTCATTTGCCCAATCATACTATTATTTTTCGACATTTTTTGTATGCATCTAGTTAATTTAATCTCGTTGGGAAAAGTGAACCGATTCATTGTGACCTAGGTTGTTTGTGGATGAACAATTACTATTGAACAACTCAGCCACCTCATTTCATCAAAGTGTACAAAACGAATCTTGTTATGAAATCTGGTATTCTTGTGACCCATTTTGTTTACTAGGACAAAAGAAACGAGAAAAGGGATGTGTAGTTAAATAATCCCGGTAAAATATTCAATTGATTTTCGTACGACAGGTTAAACAATATAGTATAAACCAGACACTGTTACCATCTTTATTACGTTATTTAGGTAAGTAGGAATTATTATTTTGATCAGACTAAGTTTAGAAAAAGAAAATCTCTGAGAAAATACATCGAACATAAATAAGGAAGCTGAGAAAATTCTCGTATCGAAATGGACATTCAAATGACAATAGAATATACTATTACATAATGTGAAACAAATTCGGGCATTATAAAACATCTTGGGGCCTAGATATAATTTGTTTGTAATACAAAATTATAAACTTTGTCGAACATTAAACACATAACTAAATTTATATTCCGATACAAGTCACGGTTTTGTATAACACTATTAGTGTTTTTGTAATACAAAAAGAATCATATCATTGAAAATTACGCATGGGAAGTGTGAAGTAGGGACAACGGTAATCATGAAAATAATTGTATTGTTAAACATCATACAATTTATGTTAAAGGCTATACTAATCAGTCGGTCATATGCAACGTAGAACCTGACATATGTGAATCAGTTAACAGCTGCATAGCATCACACAGGAATTCGACAGTCTTAATACCAAAAGTATTATTTTATGGTACTGTGACTAGTATAATCAGTTGCATATTAAAATATTTGTTACATTACTATCTATCGTTCATTTAATACATTCCTTTCTTTTAAAAAAGACATGTCAACTATTTATAAGTGCAAACATTGTGTACGCAAGATACTAATTGTGAAAAATTATGTACACTTTCAATCTCTATGTTTACATTTATTTGAAGTACATAGAAAACTAAGGTTTCTGAGAGAGTAAACTAACTAATAAGTCACACAAATTCCATGGAATCTAGGTTACTGAAATTACAAGTTGGAGAGATAAACATCAACAGTTCCAAATAACTTAAAAGAAATTTGTCAAACCACATAAAAGATTCAGTTTGTCTGTGTGCTTTGCTATTTGTTTCAGAAGAACAACCATTTACAACCGATTTTAAAAGAAAACTGAGAAAATGAGCAAAACCAATTATTTCACTGTACACAATAATAATAATAATAATAATAATACTTAGCAAAGTTATGAAAAACAATTATGTAGAAACACAAAAAGACGACTCCACTATTTGAACAGTTAAATCAAGAGATTATGACCTTTTGTTCCAAGTCATAGTTAATTATTCAGATTAGCTCATTCCATGAGTCAGACAAATTCCTACGATCGAGAACTAAGAGGCATAGTAAAACTATTTGAATTATGATCAAACTGTTGTAACACTTTTTTCTTTGGTTTCGTTAGCTTGTTACTATTAGTTCTTCGTACGCACTACGACTACTTTAGTAACATCTTCAACTCGAATATATTACGATGGTTAGTTGGATTAAGTGAAAAGAAAAAACTTTTTACATCAAGGTTGTACTAAGAAGAAAATATAATCATCTAATCAATCGCTTTTATCTTGATTCACAATTTGTAGTGAATGAACATGAAAGAATACTCACCGTCTCAATTGACTAATTACAATCTTGCTAACACGAACGTGTAAGGATAAGTAAGATTGATTAACGTGTACGCAGAGTTAGGAAAAATTTGAATCATAATACTAATTATAAGTTATTGTTTTACCAGCAATTAAAAAATTCACTTATACGGGAGGATTTTGGTGAGGTGTTATGTCTAGGAATACAATTAGTGTAAACACAGTTTTGAGTTAAAACAATAAATTATAAAAGCATAGTCAACTAATCTTTGTATTGTTAGTTAAGCATGATTGGAAGATTAGTGATACAATAATTTTACAAAGGAGTGTTGGAGGTGACCAACCAGCAAGCAAATAAATCTTAAGTAGTTCCATCGGATGTAAACTGTTACAATGGTAAACAGAACTAAACTCTTATTATGGAAATAAATCTTATATTTGGAAATAGTGGAAAAACAAACTTTCCTCGGAACTTTTTCAGAGATAATGATCAGAATGAATTTGATAGATAAATATCGAAGCTTCCCTGATTATTTTATTCAGATTGTAAAGATTTACAAATATAAATGATTGAAAAAAAAACAAGCAAATAGATAAAACGTAATTAAAACTTCTTTATCGGTAGCTAATCAAATTATTAATGCATAAATAACAAGCCAAAAATAAGAATTTAGTACGGTCAGCACTGAGAATATGATACTGAGGAACATCTAACTTTAAGCAGTCTTATGAATTCTGGAACCTCCCTATTTATGGAACTAATACCACTCTTCTGACAGTAAAATGTGACAGAAGCATTTCTCCAACTTCTCATGTTTAAGAAAGTTCCTGTGGTGTAGTATGGAAGTTACTGAACTATTTATATTGAGAACCATATTCAATCGTACACGGTTTGATATTTCTTATCAAAAGAATAACAATACTTAACTCTACATCATCAAACATCATTACTATTACGCTACAATGATGCGATTACAAAATTTATTTATTGAGTAAAATTAATAAACATATTTCAGAGTTTAGAATTCATAATACCTAGATGAAAATCGTATCATAGACACCGATTAGATATTGTCGCTAACAAGAAGTGATATCAAGAATTATGACTAGATAATTTCGCTAGCGTGAAGTTTGACGTTTCTGCAGAAATTTACGTTGCTAAACTTGAACAACAATAACACAACAGAAAATTCATTATAAAATTAATCAAAACAAAGCCAGAGAGACGAGTACACGAAAAGCTTTTAAGTGACTCGACATTTTCAGCTATCGATAAACAACATAAATCACAAATTTAATCATCAGTAGAAACGTCACTTCATTAATCATAAGCGTATTATTCATGTCGGTTAAGAAAAGTCTAAGAAAAATTTTTTCCAGTCTATGATATAGATTCAAACAATAACAATAACAATGAAGATTTAAAAGCCCCAGCCCCACAAAAAAAAGGTACAGTTTTTAGACTTATATATTTTGGTGAAAAATAGAACTGATCGAATCAACGAACATCAAGTGGAAATCAAATGAACTAAGATGGTAAAAGAAATAACAATTTTTTTCCAACACAATGACATTATTCTGTGATCTTTAAGATTGTATATAGTGTAATTGATTTCAAAGAATACTGTCGTTACTGATTGTGAATAATCTGATGAAAACTAAACTCCATATAATGTACGAATCATTTTTTTAAAAAGCAATGGATAGAAGAATAATTAATCATCGGAAATAACAATGAAGCTGATTTTTTTTTGAGTTAGTAATCCAGAATAAGAGTACTAGTAACAATTATTTTGAGCATAATTTTCCCGAATGACATGGTTCAGTTAATTTACAAATACGCCTGAAAATATAAAGCTTCAGTGAGTAGATAAGATCTTGTCTCAGAATACTATTAAGCACAGAAGCGATAGACAAACGTTGGGTGGATGGGACAAGCGGGGAAATTATTCTACCTTAAACCCAACTAATTTATACGCACAAAACAAGTGTATGGATAACATAAATAACATTTTAAGAACTCGTCCCTTGATAGATAAATAATCAATTACTTATAGAATCTTTTGTGATATGCAAATACACTAAACTGATTGACGAGTTGATAAATAACAATAATTACAAAACGAAGTACTCAAGGAATTTCGCAGCAAATTATTCTGATACTATCGTAGCAGAAAGTGCCTACCTGAATTATAATACTTAAGACAAAACTACTATTATAACCAAAGTAGATTCGTTTTCTCAAAATTCTTGTTGCGAATTAAAGATCTCAACTCCTCTCTTGGTTTAACCTCACTACTTACTGAAAAATGAAACAACACCACTGAATTGCAGTTTACCAGTTCAGTATAAACCAGTTTCAGGGTGTAAATCATATTTTCATTAACCACATAACATTTATTTCAACGTAGAGATAGAGATTAGTAGAGCAAGTATAAATTTTCATATTTATTGAGAGTGATTTGATTGACTGATTTGAACACATATATACTGGTACAAGGGGGCACTAGATACATATGTGCCACAGAAATCTCATTTCATTTGTATGATGGCTTTGATACTGCCCGGGTGCCAGACCGAAGCAGGTGGTTTTCTCAGGGGGTCGCACCCGGAGCCTTTGACCTAAAGGTCTGAACCACAAGGCAGTGAAGCATCGTAAGGAGATGCAGTTCCATGGTAGTTGAGTGTCTGAACCAAAATCCACATTCTTATTAATTTGCAATTTAGACAAGCTGTTATAACTGAATGGTCATAATACTATCTGTCATATGAATGAAAAACTATGTAATTCTGTTTTCATGTGAAAATAGATTTTGAATAGCTGTAATTTATAAATTATTGACTGGTAATGGTAAAGGAATACTTGATTTGAACTTCTTAAATAAACATTCATTAGTATATGACTTTAATAACTGTAAACATTCTCAATCATTTCTATTGTAGAGAAAGAACACTATGGGGAATTATTAATGGTGTAAAGTTTAATAGAATCAACTTAACTCATGTAAAATAAGTCATAATAAGTATATGAATACAGCTTGTAAGAAGTAATTCGATAAAATGAAGCTAAAAAGCACTCTAAATTAAATTCTAGTCAGGCATGGTGTAAAGAAATGTTAAATATTTGACTAAACGCCAGTAGATTTAGTCAAGTGTTCAATCATTGTACATGAAGTTATATTATAGTAATACTAGTAACAATAAAAGATGGAGTTAAGAAAGTAGTAAATAGTGGTTTTTATGCAAAATTTGGATACATACCAGGAATAATGAGGTGCTATGGAAACCGAAGCTATAAACTTAATCTCTTTCATATAAATCAAGGAATTGCAAAACAAAGAATAATGATAATAGAACAGTAAAATCAATGAGAATAGATAACATAAATGAGGATAATAGTAAAGTGAAATCGGATAACATGTCATTAGAAATCTTTAAGCGTTATAATATAAACAGAGTATGAAACGAAGTTGATTTAACAATGTACATAAACTGTCTTTTAATGGAGTAAGAATAAAAACAAAATATTAAATGTTAAATAACTAGTCCATTCGATAAATTTAGATAATTCAATGAGAAGACGAACGTTATCAGAATTATGGTTATGAATGATTTCATGCTTAGATCTAATGTTACAGAGACATTACTGATTGACATAAAAGAAAAACTCAATGTACAAGGACATTTACAAGGAATAATAATGGATTAGATCCTAAAAACCGATGGATCACTTGCATTTCGTAGGAAACTATTTTATGTACCATAACAATTTGGAATTAAATTCTTGTCATACAAACTGATTGATTATCTTTAGAGAAAAAAACATTTATACTGAACCTTTATCAAATCTAAACAAATAGGTGTATCGAAGCTCTAGAATTACACAAAATACACTGACATTCGTAAACTATGGGGTTAAAGAAAGGATGACCTAAACAAAGAGGTACGTTAGAACACATTTCTATTTGTACAAAAATTGAATTCATGTATAAAATCGATATTTGGAATGATCCACAAGGCACAAACGCTAATCATACTACACCTAAACATCATAGACAATACAGAAATGATATTATATCAATCAAAAGTTAACGAAAATCAATTTCAGTTAATTAAAAAAGAGAGTATGAATCTGAGTTGTACATATATTTTTACCAACCATAAATAAAATGATTAGAAAACACGTACAATAAACATCTCTAAATATAATAGGAGTTCAAGACTGTTGTTACTGTAATTACAATAAATAAAATAAAGGGACTTGATTAATGAAGCGCTAATAGACAATAATACAACTATTATATAGATTAGAAACATACAAAATTTTATGAAGTTCCTATCTATTTGATAACGCGAAAGATATCACCATCGTTCCGAACCTAAATATGTAAAAAATCTACAATTCTACAAATTTATATACTAATTCATCACTTATACAGTCTGCTTAATTTCACCTCATATTAACCAATCAATCTAGAACACTACAAATAGCCTACGTACCTTAGCTTATCACAACCAGAAGAATAGGAACATTTAAGATAATGCAATTCATACCAATGTTAAGGATACCCTACCTGTCGTTTATAATGATTTTTAGAATGAAAACAGCTATAGTCCATAGAAATATTCAGATAGATGAATAGAACTTACATAGAATACATAAAGCTAAACATCTTAGGAATATCACAAAAAGTGACATTTTTACTGGAGATAGTAGACAATCAGTAAAAATGGAAGATTTACCCAAATCAATTTACATTGCTACAGTTCCCCCAATATATATGCACAAAAACATCTAAAGTAAATACCAAAGGACGAAAATCAAACGGTAACGGGAAATTCAATTTTAAAAAAAGAAACGTATCCTGAGTTGGCTCACTAGATTATAGAAGAATAAGGAAAAATTAATGGAAGTGTACCAGTCTAAATAGGCAAAATCTACCAAACATTAAGTTTTTCTATGATACAAAACTTATTCACAAAGTTAAGACATTGAGAACATTAACAAAATAGGTCGGTATCAGTCAGAATATTCATGTTGTTGCACTAAAACACACATAATACATTATCAGAATAACCTAAGGATGATAGACGATAAAATATCACTAAACAATATAAAACCTAATTACAACAACTAGTAAGAACATAACAACAATCAATATACGGTGAACTCACTTTTCTGTTTTACGATCCGAATTATTATGATTACTGTTATTATTATTATTATTATTATTATTAATGTCGGCAATTGATTTGTAATTTCTGTATTATTACGATGTGAATTGATATTTTTATGATTTATAATTCCTATTGTTGTATCAGCTGAACTACAATATTCCATTTTTAATAATGAATCATTAATTTTATTCTCTGTATTAATAACTGCTGCAGCTGACTTAATATCCACAAACGTCACTATAGCATGACGCATATGACCTTCTTTAAATAATCGAATTTTTTGAATTGATCCACCACCATGCCTTTAAATGAGAAATATATTTTAAAATTTATAAAATCAATATACTGATACACATGAAAGGTAATAGCAACAAAACTAACTGAGAAAAGTTCCACTGAATAGATATAAAACTCAACAAAAATAGAGATAACGTATTAAAATAGAGAGAAAAAACCGCCGTTAAAAATTTACCTTTCAAGAACATTTCGCAAATCTGCATCTTTACATTTTGCAGGTAAATCACGAATCCACAAAAATCTAGTCTTTTTCATGTTGTAGGTGGTATATACATTAAGAATGATATTTTCATTCTATAGTTCTAGTCGAACAAATCAAAATTGGATAAAATAGCTTAATTCCAAGAGAAAACTCTGAACAGCTAATAAATTACGGCCGGCTAGGACAAGAAACAATAACAATTATAAGAGCAGGGCGGACAAATAACCCTAGCAAGCTTAATGGATCGATAAAATATTGTGATTGGTCTATTGGTTATCTGGCGCTAGCTTCAAGGTTATTCAATAATTTCAAGGTCATGGCCTAATGTGAAACAGCCTGTCAGATTATTCCTTCTCCTTTGTTTATGGACTACAGTTTAACTAAGCAAAATATTATTGATAAATACAAAATAATGGTAGGAATATTTATAGTTTAAAGCACAAATGTTTGCCTAAATCACTGGATATGTTGTGGTTTTTGAGACTGTGTATCGAAACTAATAGAATAACCGAGATAAATTTGAAAATATGAGGGTTTAAACTGTGAAGATTTTTTCTTTTCAAGCGTTAAGATGTATATTTTATTCATAGTTGTGTTTATATATTTTAAGCAAACAATGAAAATCATGCGGATTCTCAGCATATCAGATTATTAATTCTCTTTAAATCGATTTCAACTAAAATGATGAGCGACTATTGAAATTATAAGCAATGTAGTTCAAAACCACAGATTGATTCAATACAAATCTATTTACAGTTTATATTGTTCATTATGATATAATATTGATGGATTTATAACTTTATACCGAAAGGTAGAGCTTATCGAGAACAACTTTACAGTTGGGAATCCTTACTAACTATGACAAGACTCCTGTTTTGTAAAAAGGACAAAAGCTTTGGATACATAATATACATCTAACTCATTTCAGCCGTTTCTAGTTTGTGCGATTTCTGGCTGATTCGTTCCTCTTGACTAAGATGATGGGTTTATCATGTAATATTGATTTCAACATTTCGACATTAAAAAACATATCTCACGAACATATCATAGGAGAGACTTTTTTTGTAGATATTTAGATGCTTTACTGATGTCATAGATGATGTAGATTAGGTAATACCATTCGACACCTCTGTATCTTCGTGGAAACTTCAATGATTATTAGTCAATGTAGGATGATACCTCTTCCCAGATAAAGGGAATATAGTAACTTTTGTGATATTGTATAATGTTCGTTGAACCAAATCTCGAGTGTTGCATGGAAGCAATCAGCCCGTCTAAAAATAATTGAGCTAACGGAAAAAGCTTGAAGAACCCCAACTAATCTGATATCTGGAATCTCAAAGCTGTCGCATAACGAGAACCTGACTAAACCAAGTCATTTGGCTAAGGGCTGGAACTTTAGCAGACTGTTGACAGAAATAATGTGTTGATAAATGCAAAATCCGATTCACGTTTTAATTCCAGACAAGTGTAAAATTAAGACCCAAGACTTTATGTGATATTGCAACTCGGACTGATGCACACTCGTCACAGGCCTTACGCTGACAATAAGTGACTGAGGACTTTCTGAAAATGCCTTCAAATATTTAACAAAACATATTAGTGTATTGCTTGTGATGTGTCACTTAACTTTTAATATTCAAATAAATTTTTTAATGAATAAAGAATCACGGTGTATCAAGAACTAAATAATTTGGCAACCATCCAAACGTCTCGGCCACCTATTTCCAAACGGTGTAAATATTACCAAAAAATTTCCTTCTCTATGTTAAACGTATGTACTCACGTGTCAGGCTTGAAACTTAATGAAAGACCAATTACTTAAAATTTCCGTTTCAGTATTCACAAGTTGAACGAATATAAGACGGTACATTTTTTCTGGAATTGTGGTATATGCTACTTATGTGTGTCGACATAAGTAGTATATAGCATCGACCGGAAGTGGAAATCCTGGCAGCAGAAGGTTGGGAAGTTTGTGTTAAAAAGAATAGAAGGGAGAATAGATAAGAGTTGTAAACTTGAAGAACCATACAGAATGTGAAGGACAAATGATGGAATTTTTCAAATGAAGTGTTTAGTGCGTGGTTGTCATATCTTAAAAAGATATTCTGTAAGTTTGTATTAAAACACATTAGCCGTCCCAACCTGTGTTCTCATTCACAACATAATCACGTATATGGTATTGGGTAAAACGATGATTATTAGTGCAGAAAAATCATGCAAATTATTATTTAACATAAGATTATAGTTTAAACGTATTGACAGAAAGTTCAGTTAAAACACGTTTTCGATTGTTTAGTTACGGAACTTTACATTATTGAATGACCTGCTTCGTTTTGGGCACATATAGAGTAACACAAACCTCACTCAAATCAATGATTGCTATACTTAATTACTCACTTACGCTTGTTACTCCTCATGAAGGAGCATAGGCCTCTAACCAGCATTCTCCACCCAACCCTGTCCCAAGCAATCCTTTCCAGTTGCTATTCATCCTTTTCATATCTGCTTCTAATTCTCGACGTAATGTGTTATTTGATCTTTCTTTTCTTCGTTTCCCTTCAGGATTCCAAGTTGGCGCTTGCCGCGTGATGCAGTTTGATGATTTGCGTAATGTATGTCCTATCCATTTCCAACGTCTCTTCCTAATTCCCTGTTCAGCTGGTTTGTTTTCTCCAACAGAAGGCTGGTATCCGGCCAATGGATGATTATCTTTCGTAAACAGCTATTTATAAGTACTTGTACCTTTTTGATGATGGTTGTAGTAGTTCTCCACGTTTCAGCTCCGTACAATAGAACTGTCTTGACGTTCGTATTGGAGATGTCGCACTAAGCGCTAGAGCTGAGGCAGCACTAATCGATTGGATCCGCATTAACAGTCGGTAATGTGCAGTTAGATCTGAAAATTCCATCAAAATACAAAGAAATTGGTGTGAGAAACGATATATTTTCATCATCTCCGTCAACGCTCAGACAGATTGCAGCCTACATGCGATCAAGGATGAGTTTTGTCAAAAGTTAACTGTTTCTCGACAGAAAATGCATTCGACAGATAATGTAGTACTAGCCGGATACATGAATACTCAGATCGGGTGTCTAGACACAGAAGAGTCGTTTAGGTGGCCGATGAAAACTTGTTGGTCAGATGACGGTGATCGTTTTATGCAGCTTCTCATAGGCCACATTCTGTTTTTGGCTGGCACTAACTACCGGCACAATCATCGCCGATGCGCCACTTGGTGTCCTCCCTCTGCATCCTAAACCTAAACTCAGATTGGTCACATTGTGATCAGCTACCGCTGGCGTGGTTGTGTACAAGACTGCCACTCTTTTCAGAGTACCTGTCTGTAATCTGATCATGGCCTTGTTTGCGCTAATCTCACCTTACGCTTCAGTGGCCGACAAATTCACCATCCTGAACGGGTTAATGTCAGCAAATTGGCTGTAGCTTGTGTTGCAACTAAATATCAAACCGAGCTAGATTTAGGGCTAGCTATCATCCCATCATCAAGTATAGATGAGCATTGGTTGCAATTGCATGATGCCACGAAAATGACGAGTAAAGTCGCTTGCGGCTTCGCGAAACGTTCCGCCTATAAACACTGGGTTTCTTTAGGCTCCTTACAACCCATTTAAGCACGTTGATTTACTCTGGGTAACCGCGAGTTTGGCTATAAACGAAGACTATTACGTAATGAAATTGGGCAAAGATTGAGTAAAGACAGAGAAGTCTGTTAGTTTGAACGTGCCAAGGAGTTGGAATCAGCAGCTGCATCTGATAACTGCCGGAAGCTCTTTCAATTCATCCGAGTCACTGGCAGCAAGAAGTCTGGTGTGAACGAAACAATCTGTGAAGGTGATGAGATGTCAATCACTAACATCTACCGACGTCTTAGACGATGGGCAGAGTTTTTCGAGGAGCAGTTCAACTGGTCTGCTTCTCTGGCAACATCGATTACTCTCTATGGTCCTCAAGGAACTCCAACCCTCGAAGCGCCGCAAATCACGAGACTCAGATAACTTGCCTCCGGCCCTTTTTAAACATGGTGGTGACTTTCTGGTTAAGGAATTGAGTTGCTGACAGTTAGTGTCCTAACATTATAGAATGAGTCGATAGGTGTCCGTATCTTTAAAAAGGGTTCATGACGTTTCTGCAACAAATATCCAGGGATAAGTTCACTTCTGACTGCGTCCAAACTATTGGCTTCCGTCATACTTCGTAGATTGTTCAAAACACAAGAAACATTGACTTGTGAGGAGCAGGCTGATTTCCGTTTTGGTCGAGGAGGTATCGATGATATCTTCACCCTCCACCAAATATTAGAGCACCTCTATGCTTATTGCAGCCCAACAACCGTTGTGTTTCTTGACATCAAGGCTGCCTTCGATTCGTTGGACAGGACTGTTCTCTGGGATTGTCTATTGAAGAAGGGTGTGCCTGAGAAGTCTATTAACATCTTGAAAGCCCTATATACAAACACCTCAGGCATAGTGAGGGCATAGAACCACCTATTTCCATTGTTCCATTCAAGCAGTGGAGTTAGACTGGGTTGCCCAATCTCACAACTCCTACTCAACTTTGTTATTGATGACATTTTGGAAACAGATCTGGTGGATGTATGTAATGGTGTTGTGGCTCTGTTACCTGGAGAAAGACTTCCGACCTTTAATATGCGGATGATATTGTCTTATTTTGCGATGATACCCAAGCTATGCTATCCGCACCCAATCAGTTAGCAATTAGTGCCCGTAGGTTTGGTATGTGATTTGAATATCCGAAGTGCAAAGTGCTTTTGCAAGACTGGCAGGACCCTGATCCTGCACTCACCCTGGGTAATGAGCAGATAGCAGTTGGGAAGTTCGTGTATCTGGGTAGTTGCATAAGTGCTGGTGGTGGCATGAGTGACAAGACCAATTCACGTATAGTGAAAGCCAGAGTGGCTTGTGCCAATCCGGGTCATCTTCGGCAACTTCGTGATGTTAGTCTGGATGTAGAAGACCGGATCTACAACGCGTCAGTGAGAGCACTTCTGCTCTATGCTTGTGAAACCTG